AGTAGCTTTACATTCACCATTTTGAATAGTCTGTCTTGAATGTGTTAAGTTTCCTATAGGTAACAAACTGAGCATTATAAAGTGCTGCTTTTGCTGATATATGTTACCTGCTGGAGCCAATGTCACGTTCAAGATCTTTCTTTAGAGACCTGGCATCTATGAACAATATACTCACTCTTTCTTTTGATGTAGTAGAAGTTTTCACACTAATAACTGGTTCTCCTTTGGATTTATCCATCACCACTGTCCTTTCCGTTCCTCGACTTCCTATTTAAACCAGAGGGGAAAAAGTACAAACCAAAGATCATTTAAGTCATCTAAGAAACATTAAACTGTTCTTGAAACAACTGAAGTCATCAGATTAGGTGGATATGATCATTTATGGAAACACAAAAGCAAAAAATATTTTAGATGTAAAGTTTTAAATTCTTTTAGATCTTGAACGTGACATTGGCTCCAGCAGGTAACATATATCAGCAAAAGCAGCACTTTATAATGCTCAGTTTGTTACCTATAGGAAACTTAACACATTCAAGACAGACTATTCAAAATGGTGAATGTAAAGCTACTCCTGCATCTAACACAGGCACATTTTTACACATGTATGGGAACAGCTTCAGACAGTGATAACTGCACATTTCAGTACCCACTTGCACTTAAGTCTACAGATGTTGCTTTCTGCTTGTAATTGGAGGTAAAAAACCGTTTAGATGCAAGAATCCTTTTTTATCCTTTCTCTGAGTTTTACAGTTGTAAAACAATAGTTTGAATTTCCACATCAGTGTGTTGCTGCTCTGGTCCCTCTTAGTATGAGGAATGGCATATGTGTTTACAAATAGCTCCCTATTTACCCTTCTCCATTTTAAAGCTAAGGGTACTCAGCATTGGGCAGAACTCTCCAACAGAAGGGAATGTAATTTTCCCCAGAGACTCCACTGGGTAGCTATGGCACAACAGAATTGTCATTTTGTTAGGATGTCTGTCAGCTGTTAATTGCCCATGTGAACGACATCTGTAATACGGTATCCCATTTATATTAACAAAGCAGCTTAAGCCACCTGATTTGCTTATCCTCGAGCGATCCGTGACTCCTGTTTTCTGTTCATCTTTCTCTTTTCCTTCTTTTTCATCTTTGCCATCTTTTTCCATTTTCTTAGCATCATCTTTCTTGTCTGTCTTCTCATCCTTTTTAATATTGACAGACCTACAGATAAAATGAGCTTTAAAGCAGAGTACAGAGGAAATAGTCTAGATGCATGCACTCCTTTTGGACTCCTGCACAAACCAGTCTTTTAAAAATTGAAATTGCAACAAATTCTTCTAATCTGCCAAATATTAAATACAACATATATTTGCATCCTATTATTTTTAATCTAGTTGACTGAATATCAAAGCTTGAAAGATGCAGGGGAAAAGACAGATGATTCTTTTGAACACAGGTTCTTCAGATGGTTTTGGATAAAAATTTCAATTATTTTGATGATTAACTTCATATGCAGCTCACTTTTTGGCAAATGAAAAGCAGACATCCACAAAAATTACGAGCTCAATCAGAATAAGAATTTTTGCATAAACGTTTGAATCCTAAGAATCTACCAAGCAAGATGGTCAAAGCACAATCAGGGGTTTTGAAAGGCAGTTTAATATGGAGTGACCTCTAAGCAGCAAAAAACCACTGTGTAATGGATGCCTCTCACAAACAAAGGCTATCAAACCCCACAAAAAATAAACATTAGAAAAATCTCTCTCCTGGCCCATTCCAAAGGCTTTTTTAAAAACAGTGACTAGTCTTTTAAAGAAGTAGCCTAAACAAAAGGATGATATGACAATTTATAGAGCTGACCCACTCCAAGCAACATAAAGAGACCCTTTAATCCTCATCTGTGAGAAGAGACTACATTCAACAATAATCATGCTGTAGTCAACGCTGGTTTTGTGAGTGAATTTACTCAAGAGATAGCCAGTACAGGGCCTGCAAAGATGCGGCCAGATTCCAAGTTACAAATAACTGCACTGGGTTGTTACAAAAGAACCCGTGGCACCATTGTGATTTCTTCTTCACCATGTCTGTCTCAACTACTCAGTGATAATACAGTCCCTTCTTAAAATGCAGACAAAAGTAGAACAGAGCAAAAAGTTATATCCCATTTTTGCAGGCAGAAACTGGGTCTTACACTACACAGGTCTGCTATACCAGCAAAGCTGTACTAATATATGCTAGACCCAAGACCCCCTTTTTTTGATCTTTCACAGATACAATTCATAAGATCTAAGAATTTCATCATTGTCTTAACGTACCATTTTAAATAAGCACCAAGTATGTGTGGGCAATAAGACAGAGTTGAAGTCCAAGAAATCATTAGGGTGTGCTCAACTGAAGCAAGGACATATTTGAAATATACACAGAAGGAGGAACTAGGTTACAGATTTAACTTGTTGCTATTTCCGTTTCATGGACTCTCAGATGAAAAAAATTCTGAAATGGGATCCATTAAGCTAGACCTACAGAGTGCAATAAAAAAGCTTCTCCTGCTGTATGAGCAAGCCAAGTTATTTAAGGTGTAGTATGAACCAACCAATCATGATACAGTACTTCCAAAAAGTATCTTTCAATTTGTTATTACTCTTTAACTATGCTTTTGCCTTACATTTTAATGTTTCAAATATAGGATCTCTTAAAAAAGAAAAGGAAAAATTTACTTTTCAGACTTGGAATCTGTAGAATGGTGTCTGTCTTTTTCCTTCTTTACTTCATTTTCTTTTTTGTCTAAAGGTTTTTTCCCAGCTGGTTCATTTTTTGCCTGGAATTTTAAATATCAGAGCATTAGTCTATGCAGTATTTTTATCCTTGCATTACACTGTGAATCACGGAAAGTTCTCACTTACTTTTTCTACAGAGATCATTTTTCCATGTAGCTCTGTTCTGTGGAGGTGACTAATACATTTGGTTGCTTCCTCAGATGTGGACATCGTAACAAAACCGTAACAGCGAGCACCAGGACTGCGAGCATTAGTTACTACTTTTGCACCAACCACCTTGCAAAAATTGAATTAATGAAAGTTATTTTGTAACTGCAGAACTTCATGTACTTACAACTTAAGTACTGCCAAATACCTCACATACCAAAAGAACTGTTCGTCAATACCATGTAAACCAAGAGCATTTGCTCTTCTGAAACTGCATTGGAAGACGAGCATTTCTAACCAGAAGCATTTGTCCAACTGAGCAAAGTTTATTTTGCAAAGGACCCCAAAGTTACACAGGGGAACAGAGATGTAAGCAGACTGGTCAGCAGCATTCTGAAAAAGCTACCATTAAAGTACTTCCCCAAGTACTAGAAATATTTCCATACATGGCAGCAATGGTGCCAAAATAGTTGGGAATACTACAGTTTAAGATTGTAATGCAGATTTTAGTTCTACAGAAATCTTATCCTTGCTGCACAGTCCAGTGACCACAGAGGCCAGTCACATGCTGTACACCACCCCACTGTTTCTTACCTTGCATATCAGCCTACTGAATCTCTGGCTGGGGTAAGATATCTAGTTTCTTCAATTCAGTAATAAAATGCAGACGTATGGTTTTGTTAAAGTACCTTTAAAGCAATTAATGCTAACACTGGACTACCACAGACGTGATTAACATTGTAAAAAGATGAACTTTTCTGGATAAGTAAACACAAAGAGTACCTGAGTGTCATTCAGAAAATACTTACTAACAAATTGCCAGTCAGGTAACATCCAAGACCTGGCTTGCAGAAAACATCCCGGTTTGACATTTTTTCTATGAATGGTTAAGTGACTGAGGGCACGGAAGTGAGCAACCAGTGTTTTACTTTCCCCAGAAATTTTGAGAGATATTTGGT